ATATTGTTCTCTGATTTGTATTCTACACAATATCGCACGTCATGATGATGGAGTGATTATACTTAATAAATATGAATGTGCAAAGATTTTACGGGAATTCAAAAGTCAAATGTTGGATGGAAAACTTGATTTTATTATTGATAATAAGATATACACAGATATGCGCGTTCTTTACTATATGACATTAGCTTTGGTGCTGGATTCAGATGAACTTCGAGGCGATAGTGTTAATAATGATATTATTAGTTATTTATTATCGATAACAATTGCTGCTTCGAAATCATGGAAGTTTCGATATGAAGTATTTCATATTTCTGAACTATTGATTGTTCTGATGAAACTATGTGTTAATGATGTAATTATAGATTATATTCTCCGACACAATGAAATTTTGACGATTTTTTGCACTATTTTGGATAAATTCTTGACTATAGTAAATAACAAAAAAGCTGGTGACGATGGTATTGGTATAGATGTATTGACAATCATGGCTTTGGCAAATATTCTATGGAGTATTTCATTTCAGAATCGATATAGAAATGAATTAATTAAAAATATTGAACTTATCAAAAGACTGGAAAAGTTTCATGCAACTGGTTTACCTGGTAAAGTGTTAGCGAATAGTTACATACCTCATCGTATGTCATCATTAACAAAAGTCATTCATGGTATTTGGGAAAATTTATCCCCTTCAGTAAAACGAGTAATAAAATCCTCAACATCTTCTAGTTCAAATCGATCTGTTCAATCATTGATGATTAGCTATTCTCATGCTAATATTAGGTTTTGTCGACAGTTATATGATATGTTAATTAAAGATCCCACTTTATCAGTTTGGATCGATTTTAACAATTGTAAATCACGTGATATATGGGAAGAAATAGCACATGCTATTGAACAATCGGATTGTATCCTCTTTCTTATGTCAAAAGAGTACTTTAATAGCAAATCATGCCGTCAAGAAGTGGCTTATGTCACAGATACATTAAAAAAAAACTTTATTCCGATTTATATTGATGCTGATTACAAAGCAACCGGTTGGCTCGGTATTCGAATAGCAGGATCAAAATATATCCGATTTGGCAAAAATGATTTTATGAATACATGCAAGGATTTATTGTCAATAATCAATAAACATCGTTCAACGACTATACCTACGCATCATGATATCACTCAAGATGGAAACAACTAACTTTATGACTTAAATGACTTCAAATAACTTAAATGATGTGAAAGATTGAAAAGCATTATTATTTCTCATCATATATCTTGCTTTGAATCCCATTATTACTTGAGAATTCTACGCTCACTATTTTCACATCATGCAAAGAATTTTCATTTATATCATTGACACTATAAACATCTGATTCATCATCACTATCCATCCTACGTGTTCTAGATCCACTGAGTCGTCAGAAGTTAATTTATCGTTAGATTCAGTTTCCGAATCGGACGATACATCTGTGAGACTAGACGTATCAACTGTTTTCAATATTGCATTCTTCTTATTGAAAACAAAATTATTCACATTCCGAAACGTATGAATCTTTTTTTTCTTCAAGGAATTATGTACATCCATTTTATCGAGTAATTTGAAAGCATCATCAAAAGCAGAAGAAACCACTCGTTCGATTTCAGCTTTTGTCAATGGTGATGTCATTGACGAAGTTGAAGATGCAATTGCTCTACTAATTTGTTGATGAAGGCTAGGAAAGCGCAGAGATGGTGTCTTAACCGTAGAAAAAATAATCTCACTCTCACTTTTAATACAATTCAATACTGATAGTTTTTGAGTACAACGTAGAAACTGAATTACAGAAAAATTAACAATATTTTTGTTATCGGCAGCTTACAGAAATTTGCGTCTTGGTCAAATCAAAGCCTCAATCTGTAGCTAGCTACAGTTATTTGTACATTGGACTTTGTCTTCGTTGGATCTCAAGGGTTTATTTGTTCGACTTCATCTCGAAATTTCATTTTTGACATAAACATGGCCAGTTTAACAAAAGATCTTCTATAAAAATAGTGGCGTGGCTGCAAGTGTGGCAAAGTCTGGGATTGTTTGCGAGCAAACAAGTTATTTCAACGATGAAGCAGATTGCTGCTCTCCCTGCAGAAACTTTTCTGATAGTTTGTGCCCTTCCTGTGAAGAATTTTTAGTCATGACACTATTCGAAAACGATCTCTCCAGCAAAATGTTCATACTCAATCGATATAGTTACTTTCGGCTTAAGATCACAGAGTCATGTGTCAACTCTCAAGTGCATGATGTTCAATTTTTTTCTCAACATCCTCCTTTCAGATCAGATACTTGACTGCAGGAATCTTCCTTTGATCCCGCCACCATCATTCTTGTTGTTATCATCGACTATCAAACAAAGTCGGATCGAAGACGTAGATTACTGTGAGATGATATGGGCGTGCCTATCGTTTTAAGGGTGTGAGTATCGGCGTGAGTGAGAAGTTTTCTATACATCCATGTTCACATGACAGCCAGAATCACTCTTCTGAAGCTTTTTGCTTTTCTTCCGTCTAATTTCTTTGAGATTGGAAAGCTTCTGCCGTCATACAGAAAGGTGTGTAAGTATCCTGCAGACATTCTGAGCCACTGACACCATGATCGGTTCGTTGAATATTTCACTATCCATTCTAAATATTTTTTGCGACGAGTAAGTGGGTGTGAGTGTGAGTATGTAGGTGTGACGTGTAGGGTGTGACGTGTGTGTAGAGTCTGTATGAATCCACACTCACAACGACACTCACATCTGCAATTAATGCATAATTTGCATGAGAAAATGGAGATAGACAACAAATAAGAAAGAACGTGGTTCTTCTCTTCATTCTCGCTCACTCCGATTCTTTTTTATATCTAATTAGTATTTAATCGTATTAAAAACAAAAAACAACTGAAAATTCGAAAAATAAATTTTATCCATAAAATAACACGTATATTGTTAGAAAGAAATATAAAGCGATTAATTAAAAATAGGGTCTTTTCATAAAATATCATTTCTAGAAATTCTATCCAATGTATAATCCTATGTAACTATATTGAATTCTTCAACAAACATCTCAGAAATTTGTTGTTTGGTAAAGAAAACATGTGTCAATCAAATGTGAGAACAAGTTCTCCTTTAAAAGAGGTTCAATCATTAATCCATTACAGCCAGGATGTAGGTGTCGATGTTGAGTGTGGGTGACGTTGAAAAGAGCTTATCTTGACTACGACGTTCCATGCAATGATTAGGAGCCATTTAAGTGATAAAGCTTATCAATTCGATCGACCACTTGCAAAATACGTAGTACTTTAGCTGAAGAATAAGGCGAATATAAAATAATAATTATGATACGTTCTGATGCAGGATAGTAAAAGTATCTTTATGAATACGTAGTTAAACGTTGTTCTAATGACTTACGACGTCTTGAACGCTAGCTGATGATCTTTCTATTCTTATTCCATTGATAAGTAGTTTTCAGGAATTATCGATGCGGTATTGACATTGTTTTGGGGCTAAATTACTGCGTCAAACTGTAGTTGATGGAGATTATTTATGTGTGACATAAGCAAAGCTTATCATCTACTATCATTTCATGTATTCGCAGTCTTGCGTTAGTCATCCATGTTCAACGAAGTTTGATTGATTGAAATAGTTGCTAATCGCTTTATATTGAATGCTACAAGCAAGATGATGTATATTGTAGTCAAAGATTATTTGAAAAAACTATCAATAAATGTCTTCAAACAAGTCGATGATGTGTAATTAAGCATGGCTACTAGCTTAAATACTTACTGGAACAAAAACTTGATTAACCCATTCTTGTGGGATTTTATTTGTCAAAATCACTACTTTTAGTATGCCTGAAGTATATGTGATATTTCAAATAGAATTTATATAATTTATTAATCATAATTTGTTTTTCCTATTTGACCAGTTATAATACGAATTACATTTGATTTAATCGCTTTTATTAATGTGCGAAGTATAATAAGATGGAAGATTCCTATTATTCATTTCAGACGAGATCGACAATTAACAAGATTGGTTTGATAGTAGATGCGAGTTCAGTTTATTGTTTTTTTGAGAATCTTTTCTAGGTTTTAATTGAAGTAGGTTTTGATAATATATTTGCATAACGTTATATAATGTCTTTGTATATCAGCACGTTTTCGTCAATAATTAATTTATGTTTTAATTAATCATCATTTTAAAAATTAATGACATGTATTTTTCTTGAAGCAATATCATTATTGAAGTTTGTGTAAATAAAAGATAAAATTATCGCAAAGATATTGAGTCGCCTGTGCAAAAATAAATGTTAAATGAAGTACATGCCATGAAAAAAGCTGAAATGTGATTTACTATTACGTTTTTCTTTTCGTAACATTGTGTATATATTCTATTTTTTACAATATCATCAATTCTGAGTTGATCTTAAGAAAAAAGCGCTGGTAGTATTTTAGAATATTAATCTGAACCAATGCTCAAAGAACATAAATCGAATTATATTGAAAATAAAATTTGTATATTCAAGTTTATTCGAAATAATGAATAGGAGACTATAATTAGATATTACATGGATCAATTCAACTAGTTAACAGAAGCCAACAAAAAAAAATTATGACAGAAAACAAGCATACAATTTTTCATGTCAGGTGAAACTCAACGTTTTACGATTAAAAATGTGTCAAATAAGAAGGCCATTTCATTATTTAACGATTCACTCCGAACAGAAAAAGAAGCGAACCTTCAGTCTCGTGATTAGTTTTTAAATACAGTTGATAATCGATAAAATTTTTAAAAAGAATGATGATTATGTCTAGATTAATGCATATGAGCAAGTTAGTTTCAGTCAATTTTCTGTTGTTTCCTGTTAGAAACAATCATAAGTCACAAAAAATATCTAGAGATATTCCAGCCCGAAATACTGTTTCTAAACTTCATCGACCTAGATGGTTACCCGGTGTGTGAGTGAGTGTGAGTATCCTTTGGATACAAATTTTGGTTTACTGTTCAATCTAACCTAAACGACTCAAACTCGTACTCTTTATTTTTATTATTCAAATAGGCCTATTTATATGAAATCAGGAATAAAAATTAATCCAATTAAGAACAAACATTTATATGAAGGAGTTCATTAACGCATGAAATCAAATACAATTCTTGAATATGATGAGCAATTTCTTGATTGTTATTTTTTTAGATATATCATACTTTAAATTGTCATCAAATGCATTGACAATAGCATTAAATCGGTACCTATTATTGATCTTTTTCGGCGTTTTTTTTTTTCTCAATTAATACTACCATCAATTTGTACAATAAATATGCTATAGATACTTGACTTTACTGGATTATCATTAAATGAATTTAATTTCCTCTGTAATTATATTTATCTTAATCAAATGAAAAATTAACTTTAGCTTACAATCATTTAAATATACTCGGTTACATTTATTCGTTTGGTCAAATTGCTCTTTTCCGATATATCTAAACTTTCAACAATGAGCGTTACCTTAATATTAGACTGATATTGAATATCGGCAATAATAACGTTCTTGAAATCAATTACAATTAATTTAAGCTATTGGATCTTATGATATTATATGTGGAATAGGATTGATCAGTATTATAATGCTTTTATTGAGTGATTTCATTAGCAGAAAAGTCTACCCATGTGAAAACTATCGAAAAACTACAGCTGGCTTTTTTTTTGAAAATGTTGTATGATGGTGTATTGTATGAAAATGGATGAATATTTTTGAAGTCTATTAAAACTGACATAATGGAGTCTATTTCGATGTACTACTCTGTTAATGTTGATGCGTGTGAGCTGCTTGCACTAGCCATTGAGCCCAAATTGATCCCAGTTATTAGATAAATTTTTATTAGTAAAATATATTCTGAAGCTGTTTCTCTTCTCGGTTAATTTGAATTCTTTTTAATAAATAATTCGAATTCTGCAATCGTTTATAGCTAGAATCAAAAGTCGCAAGCAGTACAGATGATAGTACGAACAAACGTGCGACATGAGTAAGTTTTATTGAAACTCATGAATTTTTCTGTCTGTCTTACGATATGGTTAATAAAGAATGCTTAATTTGAAGATGTAAGCATTTTTTTCTTTTCTAATTAGCTTATTTACGATCTTCTATTTGTGAGTTTAATTCAACTGAATATCAACTGTTAAATAAAAGAATTGATAATCGACAGTAACAATCAATTAAATTTATTATTGATGATGACAAGTTTGTAAATGTATTCTCTTTTGAAATATTTTTAAATAAATTCATGGAAGATTTATCAGCAACGAATAACTTTTCAATCGATACAAGGAATGTTTGTTTCAAGCAGAGAAATATCGTCCAGGGCAAAAATAATTTTTCTTGCCTTTCTGTTTATACATTGTTATGCAATATATATATATATATAAATCGAGGTATTGTTTACATATGACGATAACATATGGAGAAGACATGAAATAGTAATTTTTTCTGTAGATGATATACATCATGTTACAACCTCGAATATTTTTCATTTTGTCCTCATCTTCTAACCATCCATGACTATCATATTTCTGTTTTTTCTATTCAAACAATTTTTGTCTTAAATAACATTAATCTCCTTAATAGTTTAAAATAAATAAATATACTTAAAAAGTCAAACAATGAAATTTCAAAAAAAAAACTCTTTCTCTAAAACTCCACGATGATGAATTACTACAAACATAAAATGTACAAATTTTTTTAAACGATAATTAAATACAGAAAACTTTCAAATGCTTCTTAGGAATTCAACATAAAATAGAGATTTATTCGAACTAACATAAAAACATAATTCCATTTTCATAAATCAAAATTTCAATAGATATCGACATTTTTTTTCACGGACAAATGATGTATAGAAGGAAAAGATAGTGATATCTTTCTCATGCATATCAACATTTTATCAATATCGCCACATATTAACGATTCGCTACGAATAATCAGTAATACAGATTAACTACTTTTGATTTCTATAACAAGAGCATTTAGCTTCGTATGTTTTGCTTAAACGTACTTCGTTCTTATGAGCAAAGAAAAGATCTACTCAAAAAGTCTTTTCGTATAAAAAGTGTTTTGGAGGATCTATATGCGATGAAAATATGAACATCTTAACACTTCTATCTTGATGGTCAGTTTTTAGTCATTGTCAATATGAGTTTCGTACGAGTCTCTTTTTCATTTAACGTCGACTATGATAGATCGAAAAGACTATTACAAGAATGGTGCAGGTCAACTTTGGCACTGTATATTTTACATGCACTAGCAATCCTATTTATTTTTTCCATATTTTCAGTATAATAATTCGATTAGAATTAATTTGTTTGATCGAAAAAAAAAAGAAATTACTATTAATATTTAGTTGAGAATGACACATATGAAAATTATTTTTCGATGATCTATATAATAGTACATGATTTTCAAAACAATGAATTTATTCAAATATCTGCTGATAATTTTTTCTCTAGATCAGTTATATAAATACCATCAAAATTCTTAAAACAATTATTTACCTAAATAAAAATTTTGAACAATCGATGAATTTCAGAGAATCGTTTAGTAAACAAAATAAATAAATAACTTATCGAATGAACTAATTGAATGACTTAAACAAAAGACAAAACAAAATATGCCATCAATAGTAGCATATCGAGAATATTTGATTATATAAAATAATGTTTTTGTTATTATAGAAAAATTTATAAATAGAAAAAAGGAACCATATTTTTTTGTAGAGATACAAATGAAAAACTAACATTCGATGTACTTTCAAATTAATCAAGAATTGTTGTTATTATTGACTTAAAAGTTTTATATCTGCATACTAATTCAAAACATTGTCTTATAATGAATATTTCTTATTTTGTATCTCTAATTTGGTTCATTTAAAATTTGAACGAAATTGTTATGAATAATATGCATCCAAAAAAAAAGATCGAATTTTAAAAGTATTATGTTACAGTACTATGAAGAGAGAGAGAGTGATAGAAGACGAATAATATATACCTTAATTTTTACCTATATCTTCACTACTAGAGCCTGTCAGATCCAAAATTTTCGGACTCGGACCTGACGGGTTCTATTCACGACAGATTGTGTATTGAAAAGACAGAGTAAAATTTTCTATCAAGCATATGAACAACTCTTTCTCTCTATATCACAACTTTTGGCCAATAGAAATATTCGAAAGTCTAAACGAAAAAAGAAATAAGACTTATTCTAATTGTTAAGCAAAGAGCAATCATTTATTTGAATTCCTTCAATTAACAAATAGTAGCTGCATACTGTGGATGAAATGTAGTACCGCCCATCTGATAACAAAGTGGTCGTGGACCACTCAATTCTTGTGAAAAAACTTCACCCCATTTGCCAATAAGGCGTTGATTTTCACAACGAATTTTCATCCATGTAATATCCTCAGGAAGTTCCATATCAAATTTTTGACCAGCATATATATTTCCACTAGCCAATCTGAATGTACTTGAATCATCTTTTATATCAATAAAACATCGAGCAACATATGCACCACGTGATGCTACAGAAATTTTCTTTGCATGACATCCAACCACTATGATAATATTTCTTTTTAGTATTAACATCTAAATCTAAATAATCATTTACTTACCAAGAAGAGCTATGATAACAATTAATTTGAACATTTTCTTGTCTTTTTTTTCTTATACTCTTTGCTCGATCAATTGATTTTTCTCATTAATAGGTTCGTATTATATAAGAGAACCGAATCATGATGAATATCACGCCATTTTCGTTTATTCATCTGTTATATTTCTCATTTCTATCTATACTTCTTATTTTCTTTCTTAGTTAAAAGACAAAAAAATAAAATAAAAAAGTATTTATGACTGTAACAACCAATCACCGTTTATGTTCTTTCCTTTTGTTGAATAAAAAATGAATAAAACTGACATAAGAAAAAAAAAAAGAAAAAAATCGAATAATAAAATTAAGTTGCTTTTTCAGATGCCGAACGCATTGCTGGAAAAAATCGTGCTGCTGGTCTATTAAAATGTGCATATGAAAGAGGTGGAAAATCAACTAAGACCGGAGTTAATGTATCAATCATATAGGGTTGGGTATTGAATTGTTGAGCAAAAGGTACTGGCATTGCAAATGATCTTGATGATGGATTTACAAACGATGGTGATAATACTGAATGCACAGCAGATTGTGGTGCACTTGACGGTGATAATCCTGGAGGCATGCCAGATTGTTGTGTACCTGATGGTGACATTGGTGATGAATAAGCAGGTTGTGATAATGCTAATGAAATAGCTGATTGTGCTAAATATGATGAAAGTGGAGATTGTGGCATTGTTGATGATGCTGCACCGCTGTTTAATGACACTAAAAGAGAAATTAATATATTCAAGAATAGCAACAATCATAGAAAACTAACTTGGTTGAGCATATGATGAAAGAAGTGAACTGTACGGTGATGGATTAACTAAAAGATGAAAAAAAGAAAGAAAGAAGTGAGATTGAAGAAAAAAAAAAGAAATATACCTGGACAAAGATTAGATGTAGGTGGAAGAAAATCACAAGGTAGAAGATCAAGTGAAGGTGCTGAACATTGACTTTTAACAACTAAATAGAAAGTTATATATGTTTAATAATTAGAAACATTTACATCTTTAAACAAACCTCGACAAAATGGTTGACAAGGAAGTACTGGTGGAGGTTCATATTGTGATGGACATGGTGGAAAAAGTAATGGACATATTAAAAGACGTAATGAACGAGTACATGCTGGATTGGGTGATGTTGGTGGTGTTGAACCAAGCATAGTACTTAAAACTTGTGTTATTTGCCATCGTTCCAAATGACCAAATGAATTTGGCAAAGAATATCGAGCTTGTGGTACAGCACCGCAAAGATCCGAAAATAATGGATATTGTGGATCAAGTAATCGATAACAAGTTGGTTCATTCTTTATATATGCATTACTGTCGAAAGCACCGCCAGGAGATGATGATAATCCAGGAAAATTCGATATAAGATTACTAAAAAAAACAGAAATGAAGATAAAAAGAAAAAAAACAAAACGATACAAAAAATAAAAAATAAATGTTTCGTTAATTTACTTAAGTCCATGTTCATATGGAGACCAATCATTTGAATTCATATCTTCATATGATGATGGCCGACGTGCTCGTGCTCGATAATTTGTTAGTAATGAACCATATGAAGAATATCGATTACGACGATTTGGTGATGTTCGTGGATAATTTTCTTCACTTTGTTCATTTTTATCGTTATTAGTATCATCGACTTGAGTTTTACGATCCGATGCAGAAGTACCTTTAAAAAAAAATAAAATGTAAATTCAAATAAATATTCGATTTTGAAAATAATAGTTTATTTTAAAAATAAAATAGAAAATGAAAACAAAAATCATATTTTTAAAAAAGTTTCAACAATCTTTGTAATATCGATTGTATATTTTTTATAATCATATTTACCTTTTCGATCATTTAATGGATCCATAGATTTTGCATATACAACGATCAAAAGGAGTACCACAAGTAACAAACATATTTTATTTTGCATCGTCATTATGCGTACAATTCACTCGATAGTTAGAAAAAATGAAAGTGACCATATATACGAATTTGTCCGCAATTCATATAGAGAGAACGAGAAAGAATATCTCTCTAGGTCTATTGTTCACTCTCTCTATCTCTCTCTCTCTTTCTTTCGTTATTTCGAAAGGATAAAGTACGATACCTCGATTTAACTCTTTATGCATATAGAAGAAACGTAGAAAATCGTGCAAAGACTACGTATGAGACATAAACGGCTCAAACACCCGAAAAAGAAAAGATAAAAATATAATAAAAATGTCTGCTTTAACTACACCACGTTTTTCAATTAGTCCTTATTTTGCTGCATATGATCCAGCTAAACCTACACCAGTTATAACAAAAACTGTTGAACGATTATTATCTGATGCAGGCATATGATATTAAAAAGAATAAATTTATTCATATTCATTAATTTTTATAGGTTCATTTGGTATTTATCAAATATTTGTTTTTCTTATAATTGGTCTTCTTGCTGTTATTCCATCAATGGTTAGTTTTTCCTATGATTTTAATCTTGGTACACCAGATCATCGTTGTCGTTTATCTTCTAATGATACATATGATAAACCATCTGAAATGTATAAAATATTTCTCAATAGTTTACATTTAACAGCTACTGAATATGATAAAAAATGTACAATGTTAAATAATAAATCTTCATTAATATTTAAACCTTGTGATCAAGGTTGGATTTTTGATATGAATAAATATGGTGAAACACTTACAACAGAACTTTCACTTGTTTGTGATAAATTTCATTTACGAGCATTAACACAAAATATTTATTCAGCTGGTGTAACTGGATCTATATTAACAGGTCTTTTATCCGATAGATGGGGTCGTCGAAAAACAATTTATTTACTTGTTATTATATTAATTATTGCATTAAATACAATGCAATTATTTTTATATTCACCAACACATAAACTTCTTGTTTTTACAATATGTCGATTTTTTCAAGGATTTGCAACAACATTTTTTCCAGTTTCACTTGTTCTACTTTTAGAAATAACTGGACCAAATCGACGTGTTTTAGCTGCTAATACACTTGCATATTCATATGTATTAGGTCAAATTATATTAGCTATTATATCAAGACAATTAAAAGATTATAAATTAACATATTGGGCATTAAATATATATGTTTTACCATTTGTATTTATTTATATACTTATACCTGAATCACCACGATGGTTGGTACAACAAGGTCGTGTTATGGAAGCAAGGAAAATATTTGAAAGAATATTTTTAATAAATCGTCGACCATTAAAGAATCGATTAGAAGTATTTTATTCACGTTTACCAACTGATGTTATTGCTGCTAGAGAAGCTGAACAAAAAATTCCGAACTATTTAAATGTATTAAAACGGCTTTGTCAATCGAAATTCATGAAAAAAAGATGTTTACTTCTTATTGCTGTTTGGGCAGTAGCTGTTTCTGTTTATCTAGGTATGTTTCAATAATAGAACAAACTGAATCATTTCTTTTTTTTCCCAAGAATTTCATTATGTCCTTAGTATTACAATAGATTTGATGCGTTTGAATGTAAAATATATAATACAAGATAGATATTTAAAAATTTTTTCAACAATAAATTGTAGAAGATATTTTTAACTGTATCATAGAGGGAATCTTTCTAGGTGTGAAATCACTTTTCGATCCAACAAATGTTCATTTGATAAGTAATATAAAAATCCAGAATGGTTTCGTTTTCCAGATCTTCGTCCTTGAAATATCGAAATTTTATTGGATTTTGCGTCACTTCTTCTAGTATCTTTCATTCTGAGATATTCAATATTCGAAATTCTCTCATGTGTAAAAAGCAAATTTTGTTCATCTTCAGAAAGGAAATCCTAGAAAAACGAAAACTTGCATAATCAACTAATCTTATTAAGAACTTTGTTCATGCAAAGTTCGAAGTCAATATTCGAACATTGATTTTCCACGTAATATGAGGTTACTCATCAAATGAACATCGTCTCAGTCGAAAAGCAATATGACACTTGGAGTCATCTACGGTTAATTATCTTGAGAGGTTTTCTTTTTTGTTTTGAATCATTGTTTATAAGATGTCGTCAAAAAAAGATCATGACAAAAAAAACAAAGTATTCTATTGAATTTTTATAAAGGTATCAGTAGTGCATTACCTGCACTTACAAATCAACCTCACGAATTATTTATAGCTGGTGCTATTTGTGAAATGATTGGTCTTGGTGTATGTCATGCACTTGCATCACTCGTTGAACGACGTCGTCTTCTTATTGTATTTTTTATTGCAACTGCTCTTGCTTTAGCACTTATACCTGTTACATATGATAAACAACCAGATGGTAAAAATTTTAATAATTAATTTAATATATCTAATTTAATTTTCTTTTAGTAAGTCTTGCCTTTGCTTTAATTGGTAAATTAACAGCATCATCATGTCAATTATTAATTGTTGTCTATACAACTGAAACATATCCAACAGCTCTTCGTTCGACAGGTGTTGGTTTATCAGCATGTATAGCACGTCTTGTTGCAATGATGGGACCACAGCTTTCAGCTACTCAATATTCAGTTTGGTTCCCATTACCATATACTGTTTATTCATTAGCTTCATGCTTAGCTGCTTTAGCTGCTACTCAATTACCACATACACATTCACCATGTAAATTACCTGAAACAGTTCGTGAAGTTGAAAAACAGCATACAGAAATAATACCTATTGTACCACCATCGACACAAACACTTGATCAACGAAGACCATCATCAGCACTTATTAGAGAATTAGGTGTAGTAAAACGAAAACCACCCAAATCAGTTATTTTTTTAACTTCAAAATCTCGTTCAAGACGTTATACAACTGAAGTTAATCTTGCTCAACAAGAAAATACTGATCTTCGTCTTCCAACAATTAATGATATGAATGAAGATGAAGTTTGTTAATGAATTAATCTTGTTTCATAAGAATGTTTTTTTTTTGTTTTTTATTTTTTTTAGGATGAAAATATAACTGTTGCCAATCATTCTGCATCTATTATATCTCGTATTAGTTCATTGCCTACTCGTTTATTTTTACTTCAGCAAAATAATAGTATTTCTGATGTTCCGATTCAGAAAATTTGAATTATCATTCAATTTAATAAATAATTTCTTTTGATTTTAGACAAAGATAATAATGATAATAATAATAATAATAAATATAATTAAATTCTTTTTTCATTGATATAACTTAAAGAATTTGAATTGATGTTTCTAAAACAAAAAACATTTCCTAAGAACATCTACAGATAACTATACACATGTTCATCAAAATCAAAAACATGAACACATTGAATCAAACTATTTCATTTTCTCTTATTAATATTGACTTGGATGATTTATTGCTAACTCATTCAAATCAAATAACTTCAGTTTCTGTTGTCGCCATTTCTCGTGTTAGTAAATTCGTAAAGAAATTTCAGATCAATGAAAACAAATATATTTTTACTACACACAAAAAACTGTTTACATTCAATAGTTTTTAAAAGTAATGTTCTTTCTAATGATTGTGTCGCGTTTTATATACTGTTCATCATCAATCTTGTTTATATATATTTTGATATTGCAAGCTTTTGTTTATCCTGGATACATATAAAAATGTTCTACAATATTATCTAAATCATCATCCATAACATGTGATTTCAATATATAAAATTCTGCTGGTGACTCTAAGGCTTTTCGTGAGAGATTATAGCGTAGTTTTATTTAAATTATTTAAGTATCAGATATTAAGCTGGATTTTGTACATAGTATTTTGTAGTCTCTATTAAATGAATTTTCGATATGTTAAAGATAAAAACATACTTTTTGACATAGATGTCTTATCTTCCATTTTTTTAAAATATATCTCTCTTTAAAATATAACATGATTTAATTTCTCTTTGAAACAAAAAACTTGATTCTCTTTTTGAAAAAAATTGGAAACAGAACTTTGCTCTGACATAATCAATTAATCCAATCGAAAGATTAAAAATGTTGCCTATCTATAACACAAAAAATTCTAAGGAGAAAGATCGAACATCAGAAAAAATTTAGGAGAGAGAAATCATTCTGTTACTTCCTCCTAATCGTATGACATATTTATATTAGTTAATAAATGATTTGAATTCAGAATGTATCAGTCTCACACATTGACAAGTATCTTATAGATATATAATAACCAAATCTATAATTAATCTTCTTATCATAGTGAGAGCTATTTTGACTTGTACTTGATAAATAATATTCATATGTATAAATAAAAACAAGCTTCGAACAAATAAATATACCTTTTAAGTAAAAGAATATAAACTAATTCTACACAATGTAACAATCTAATTCTTCTTAATATTATTCGATGAAAATTATTTTCAATTTTTTTTTCAAAATCAATAGAAAATTTAATCAAATGTCTTTTCCAATGAATTTTGAAACTCTTGTGTTCATTAACAGATATTATCATCTCATTTATCTAATGCTTAACTTTGTATTAAACTCATAAAAGAAAACAAAAAAGATTCATAAATTAAGAATCAATTGTTAATTAACCTTCGATTCAATGGAGACTTATAGAACTCAATACCATATAGAAGAATAACAAAAGGCTATTTGTTGTACTTCACTGTTTGAATTTAAGTTTAGGAAATAAGATTAAAAAAAAATGTCTGTTTTTTTTTACGCATCTTATTTGTTATATACAACATAGTTGTTTTTCTTCTTCGCAATATGGTACAAGTTAAAAAGTGTAGCTCATAAGCAACCTTGAGTTAAAAAGCGTCTATTTGTATTAATCGAAGGAAGAAAAGGAAAAGTGAGAGAAAGGTAATGAGGCGTAAAATCGACGTAGATACACGAAGCGACAGCTCTGTTTTTTTTTTACTCAAGTGAATATATTTGTT